CAGATGATAAGATATTGTTATGGCATAAATAGCTGTTTTTAATATAATTTTTAAATATATATATATCCATACATATAAATTTGCCCATTCTGAATTCTCTACTTCTACAGATGATAAGATATTGTTATGGCATAAATAGCTGTTTTTAATGTAATATTTAAATATATATCCATATATATTTGCCCATTCTGAATTCTCTACTTCTACAGATGATAGCATATTGTTATGACATAAATAGCTGTTTTCAATATAATAATTAAATACATATCCATACATATTTGCCCATTTTGAATTCTCTATTTCTACAGATGAAAGCATATTGTTATAGCATAAATAGCTGTTTTTAATATAATTTTTAAATATATATCCATACATATTTGCCCATTCTGAATTCTCTACTTCTACAGAGTATCGTTTAAATATGTTTTCTAAATTTGTACCAATGTTATATGCACAAAGTTTAGGTTTTTAATTGTTTTTTTCTTGTATAAATCTTGATAATCTGTACTGTCTTTGGTTCTATACCATTAAACATATATTAATTTTTCACGTTTATCTTCGTACTAATTCGGGCGTGTTCTAGTATTTAGCGTGCCAGAACTATAAAGCCGAGGGTCCATGGTTCACGGCCGCGGGTACGAAATAAGACTGATGAAAAAATCTCACTAACAAGAGTGGACGCTGCTGACTAGCTGCTTTCTTAATTATAGTATTTTGGCACTTGTCTATAAAGTTAAAATTATAAATAATATTCAACGTTAAACTGGTACACAATTAAAAACATTTTATTGAGGCCTATCTATGGTTAGCGTGAATTACTGCAAAACAAAAGCTCCATGGTTCGAGCATCCTTACACTGCTTAACAGAGTCCGCGATTTCATCTGATAAGGTAGTTATAACCATGATATTAAAAATCCACTATTTGGTTAGGGTTAGTCGTGTTGGTCTGTGGATGGTGTTCTTTGGTTGCTCTACTTCCGGTCATCAGATGAAAATTAGGGATAACTGTGCTTGAACCTTGGGCTCTCTGATCTAACTCTTTAGTACTGTGTCGTATAAGATACTTGAATAGAGTTGTTTAACCATTTGTTTAACAACAAGTAAAAGCTTGGAATGGTGTATTCTTTCATCGGGGGAGTGTCTGTGAGCCAGACTAGTTTCGGAGAATTCCACTCCTCATCAGTGACCCTGGACACTACCACCAATGAAATATCAGACCAAACCCAGCCTTTGTAGTAGTGAGGTATCGAAAATCGAAATGGTTTATTTAAGTGTTTTACACTCACAAAAAAAAAGAAACCTATCATTCTATTAGTATTTGAAGAACTTTTAGCATTCCACCACAATTTAAATTGTGGCGGAATGCTACAAGTTCTTCAAATACCTATAGAATGATAGGTTTCGTGAGTGTAAAACACTTAAATACACAATGTCGTATAAGATACTGTTCGGGTTATAACGTCAAACACCAATTTTTTAACGTAATCAAATAATACCGGAAAATATTACCTAATAATTTTTTTATATTCTATTTTCCATAAACCCCTGCCATTCGTCTTCTTCACATGTGCTGTGAGCGGACTTAATGTTTTTCTTTTATTGTATATGGTGTGTTGTAGTGTGACTTCAAGGGGCAATACAGGATTTTTCTGCAGAACATCGGTTACTAGAACTGCCATGAATTCAATTCATTAACAGGCACAGATTACTTATCTCTGAGTACATCCTCTAGATATGACGTGTAAAGCACATAATTGAACCTAAAGTGTAAGAACAATAAATGAAAACAAAAAAGAGGGAACGGGATATTACAATAATAAAAACACATCGTGCCATAGCACGAAACAGTAAAGATTAATTTTGAAGAACATACGGGTACATAGTGGTTTTTGTAACAGGTATAAGGTTGATTAATTCAAAACGAGAAATTAATACTAAAAATACATTGAAGGATATATATTGTATGCACTGACAAATTTATACATGGCGGTACATGTATAAATATTT